TTGCCCGAATTATTTCAAAAGAGAAATTATTGTAATTAAATCTATAAAACCCTGTTCCTTTGGGCCACGTATTTCCATTCCATTCACAAGGTCAACCCCAAATAAGTATATATCATATATTAATAACTATATTCAAAAATATTTATAATCTCAATTGCTATGTCTTACCTTCTTACATTTTTTGAGTGTTATAATTTTTTTTTTTACATTTACCTATCTTCACATTTAAAAAGAAACAGAGCTTTTGCTGTTGTTTGTTTTTAAGTGCCCCTATGGGAAAACCCCACCAACCACTTCTAAGACTTAATGCCCTCGAGAACTTAAGTTCCTCTAGCAAGGAATTTCAGTTTCTTGAGACAAAGGACAATACCTTATAAGCACAATATAATTTATGGATCATGTGTTTCCTGCTCTGGTACAATAAGTATTCGATGACTACGTGTTGAGTAAATGACTTATCTTTACGGCCATTCATAATAGATCTCCTAACTGTTAATCATCATGTACAACCTGAATTAAGCTTTACTTTCATCATTAATATCTTTTATGCCAATTCTCCAGAAATCCATGTGGTCCACACATTTGTCATTTTAACGTCAATGCTCTATTTCATTGTGTGGCTCTGCTATAGGCTGCTTAGCCACCCCTCTCGGATAGCTGGGATCTGAGTTTCTACTCACAGAGGTTTCTAATGTATCAGTGAAGCCAATGGAGCAGCTCTCCAGGGGTCTACTTGCATAAGGGTTCTCCGGAGCTACTAAAAAAGGAAGGGGGAAAAACCTCCTAAAATGAATTAAACCATGAAAAATCTCATTAAAAGAAAAATGTGTCGATGGGAAAAAGGCACTTCCTATATACTGTCCTACAGTATAACAAATGTCAGGCAGTGGCATCATGTTTACTTCTTATAAACTAAGATACTCGAATTCTTATGTTAAGATAAACATTAACAAATACAAAAACATACTGCATACTTAAAAACTGACCAAATTAAGCGAACTTCTCAGGTTTCCTAACTCATTCTTAAAAGGTCTGATTCAAGCAGTATCTCACACATGATCACTTCAGAAAAATGATTTGACTAAAATAACAATGTCACAAAATGAGAAATAAACTAGAATAATCTCTCAATATGCAAAAAAGATTGTACAATTCAAAGTGATACCAGGAGGACTAGATCTACTTTTGAGGCAGTCCTAGAGCACTGACTCAAAGGACAGCATAACTCCAAGACTCTGAGATATACTACATATCAAAAGGAAAAAAATATCAGGAGGCTATCTATGTCATTATATCTGAGGTTGTGCATATTCCAAGAAAAAGTTCTCAGTTACTTAGAGGTTGCACCTTCGGAGAAATTCTATAATAAACCAGGATTTTTAACAAAAACAAATATAAAGTCAACTTTGGTGAGATAAAATTTAAAATGCTTTTTGAAAATTGTCTGGAACCCAGCAATTTGTTTTGTATATATTTCAATTATAAATGTTTTCTTTTTTACTTAAAAGTTGGAAAGCAGGGGCGCCTAGGTGGCTCAGTCGTTAAGTGTCTGCCTTCAGCTCAGGTCATGATCCCAGGGTCCTGGAATCAAGCCCCTCGTCGGGCTCCCTGCTCCTTGGGGAGCCTGCTTCTCCCTCTCCCGCTCCCCCCGCTTGTGTTCCCTCTCTCACTGTGTCTCTCTCTGTCAAATAAATAAAACCTTAAAAAAAAAAAAAAAGCTGGAAAGCAAAACTACCTTTAAATTTAAAAGACTGCTTTCTCCTTTACAGCAAAAACACAAAGATATCAAATTCAAATAATTTGCTGGCACCCAAAACAAAATTAGAATGGACTTAAGTTCTTACTATGTAGTTTGTTTTATAGTGATTCACCATGAGTAAGCTTTAAAACTCAATGTTTTTAGAATGCTAGTCTTTAAAAAAGAAAAAAAAATTCTAGGTCTGCATCATAATTACTACCTTAAAAAAGAAAATTGGAAAAGGTTTCATACCCAATTCCTTTGTTATTTTTTCACAATGATATAAAGTTACCTTTGTCAGCCTCTGCTGTTTTTTTGTTTTTTTTTTTTTTAAGTTTACTGTAAGTGTCAGCCCTTTGGAATTTATACTGCATTTCCTCATTGACAGAACGTTATAAATGGTAGTGAAGATCCTACCAAAACCTATTCAACTTCTAGTGTAACTAATGTGTGGGTGGTACTTACTGAGTCCTCAAATTCCTCCTCATTAACAGAAAATGTTTCACTGCATGTTTTAAACATCCTGTATTGCAAAAATTTAGTCAGCTGATTTTGGAGGAACATTCCCCTAGAGAAACATGAGTTGACTCACTGCTCACTATTATAAAAGCCTCTCAACTGGTCTCTCCCAGCCTCCAGTCTCTCCCTCCTGTATTGTCCTCCACTGCTTTGCCAGTTATCTTAATCGTAAATCTAGTTATGTCATATCGTATTTGAAAAACCTTGTTGCCCAAAGAACTTCCTACAGGGTAAAGTCTAAACCCCTTAGCATAGAAGGCGCTCCCCAACGGTATTTCTTCCTTGCCTCCCTTTCATGTAGACCACCTGCAGACATTCTCTTCATTCCCTAACAAGTCATGTTCTTTTATCCCTCCACACTCTTGCAAAAACTCTGTTTTCTTAGAACTCACTCATATTCTTTGACTTGAACATTCCCTGATGTAGATGAGTTCAAGTAACACTTAATACTATAAACTTCCCCCAAGGTTTTATACATCTCCCAGAATGTATAAAACCTGCGGAGAAATTCTATAATGCACTTTTGGTCACCCTATGCCCCTCCATAAGCATTAAGCATGGTGTTTTACAGGAACTCGATAAATGTTGACTAAATTTTGAAAGCATACCCACGCTTAAATGAAGGATTGGCCATAAATTGTTAAAGCCATGGCCTGGGTGGCTCAGTCGGTTAAGCGGCTGAGAGAGAGAGAGAGAGCATGAGAGGGCGCCTGGGTGGCTCAGTCGGTTAAGCGGCTGCCTTCGTTCGGCTCAGGTCATGATCCCAGAGTCCTGGGATCGAACCCCGCATCGGGCTCCCTGCTCAGCGGGAAGCCTGCTTCTCCCTCTCCCACTCCCCCTGCTTGTGTTCCCTCTCTCACTGTCTCTCTCTGTCAAATAAATAAATAAAATCTTTAAAAAAAAAAAACCCATAAGGATATTCTAGGGCCGCGTGGGTGGCTCAGTCTGTTAAGCATCTGACTTCAGCGCAGGTCATCATCCCAGGGTCCTGGGATCCAGCCCTGATTGGGGCTCCCTGCTCTGCATGTAGTCTGCTTCTCCCTCTCTCTCTGCCCACACCCCTCGTGCTCTCTCATGCTCGCTCTCTCTCAAAAAAATAAATACAATCTTAAAATTAAAAAAAAAAATCCTAAGGATCTTCCATTCACCTGTATGCAAGTATCCAATAATACATACATTAACATTAAAAATACAGTCTTATTTATATTTGCAAACACAGAGAATCATGGATTACTAAAACTCCAAATGTAGGGGCGCCTGGGTGGCTCAGTCGTTAAGCGTCTGCCTTCAGCTCAGGTTATGATCCCAGGGTCCTGGGATCGAGCCCCGCATCGAGCCCCGCATCGGGCTCCCTGCTCGGCGGGAAGCCCGCTTCTCCCTCTCCCTCTACTGTGTTCCCTCTCTCGCTCTCTCTCTCTGTCAAATAAATAAATAAATAAATAAATAAATAAATAAATAAATAAATAAATAAATAAATAAATAAAATCTTTAAAACTCCAAATGTATATTGTACTTCACCTTATAGATTGGTAAATGTTAACCGTCTATGAAAAGCACAGCAAAAACAGTGTTAACCAGAAAAGATATGGTGTCTTCCCATTCATTGAAGTTTCAGTATTTAGAGCTTCAGAATTCCGACTACGAGCCAAATTTACTTAATTGCAAAAAAAAAAAAAAAAGAGATACAAAAAAATGTAATTAGTTTCCTGAAGGTCAGCAGTCCTACATGGAAATCTTCCATCATCACCTCTGAGCAACTCTCAAGGCAACCTTTAATAAAAACCCTCATTCTCCATCATACTTCACGGCTAATAAAGAAAATAAGAGCCAGGCAAACAATAATTTAATGCAAAAGCCAAAATAAACGAAGCTGTTTCCAGAAAGAAGCTATAGAGTGTTAGCAATTTGTTTCCACTACGTTTGGGCATCTCCAGGATAAAAACCTTACATATTCAAGGAAGTTTCACAATTCAAAAGCAATCTCACATAAACGATTTAATTCTTACCATAATCCCGTGATTTAAACAGAGCAGGGATTATTTTTACGGATTTACGGTATTACGAACCCTGTAAAAATGCAGATTAAAAGACCGTTTGGCTATAGAAACATAGCACTTCGCTTCCAAAAATAAGTACTCTTTTCTGTAACAACAAAATGGCCCAAGACAAATGAGCAACCCCCCTTTATTCCATCACTAAATTTAGTTCGGTGGACATACTAGAGACTCCGCTATTAAAATGAACGTCAAAATTTCAAATTATGATAACCTGGAGCAAAAGTTCCATCTCCCGGTCTCTTTCCAAGTGACATTAACTCCACAAGCAAAACCAAGCTCCATTTCTCAAAGCAGTTTAAACAAGAACACACCCTCGGCGCCCACTCAGACTCCAAGGCTTTCAGCCGACTCCCTGAGGTCTGAGTCGGTCCCAGAGAAGTCCCAAGAGAGTCTGGAGAACCCAGTTTTGGGCGAGATGGGGGTGGGGCGCACTGCAAAAGGCTCTGCCAAGCCGGAGACGGAGTCAAAGGGACCGGGCAGGAGGACACTGCCAAGAAGGGCTTGGGGCGCCAGACCCCGAGCCTCGGGTCCGAGCACTCTCCACACACAGCTGGAGCGGCTCCACCTCCCGACCCCAGTCCGGTCCCCAGCCAGGCCCCTCCGCTCCCAGGCACTATAGGGTAACTCGAAGCGTCCCAGCCCTAGGAAACAGAAATCTCAGAGGTCCCTGGGGGGCGAACACCCACCTGGCCGAGCCCCACCGAGAACTGGGCCCACCAAGCCAAACAACAGCAGCCACTGGAGCCGGAGGACCCCAAAGGGCGAGGCCGCGCCCGATCCCATCGCGGCAGATCCCGCAGGTTCCACTCAACACTCGGTCGCCTCCGCCTCCGCCTGCTCCATCATTTCCCAGCCCTGCCGGGGCCCCAGAGCTGGCCGGGATGCGCGCGCCCGAGACGAACACGCGCTCGGCACTGACGCAACTCGGCTCCTGTCCGAGCTCGCTCCCGACATCGCACTCCCTACGCTGACGTAGAGAAAAATCCAGTCGCCGGCGGGAGAAGGGGATTTCTGTCCCGGCCGCTAAAACCCTCACTAGCCTGCCCCGCCCCTTCACACTCGCTGCCCCGCCCGCTGCCAGTCACGTCCCGCCCCCTCTGCTCCCAGGCCCGCCTACTTTGGGCGTAAAGGACCTGATTGGAGGAAACACTAGGAGTAAAAGGAGGTGGAGCGCGAGACCCAGAAGTAGAATTAAGGAGCAGAAATGAAGGGCAGCCCCGCCCCCCTGCGCAGCCTTTTCTGATTGGCTTGCGGGCGTTAGGCGGAGCGTCGAGCTGCGCGCCCATTGGCTGCTTGGTGGCGAGGAGTGAGGCTCGGCGGAGAGGCCTGACCAGGCAGGGCTTGCTTGGGTTGGATGTGCCGGCCCGGCTTTGTGGTTGAGGTTGGGTCTCAGCCACTGGGCCCGGGAAGATGGTGCTAGGTGGTTGCCCGGTGAGTTACCTACTTCTGTGCGGCCAGGCGGCTTTGCTGCTGGGGAATCTACTTCTGCTGCACTGTGTCTCTCGGAGCCATTCGCACAACGCTACCGCCGAACCCGAGCTCACATCCGCTGGCGCCGCCCACCCAGAGGGCTCCGCCGGCGCTCCGAGCTGGGAATATGGCGACCCCCACTCTCCAGTCATCCTTTGCTCTTACCTGTAAGCTATCCAGTCGTCGAGGCGGAGTTGGAGATGGGGCCAGGGATATATGGGTGTTGGGATGGGGGGAAGGGAGGCTGCTTTTTTTTTTTCAGACCCTCTCCACCTGAGGACCTGATAGTCAACACGCGGGAGGTAAATTTCATGACAGGTTTCTCACTCCTCTCACCCATGCAGGGGAAAACCTTGTGTGTCGGTGGTAGATCCTTTGGGAGCCCAAAAGAGGAGAACTAGGGCGGAGTGACATCATACAGTCTCCGGAAGAAGGGTACGAGGTTGTGCCTTCTCTATCGTGCTTCCTTTAACGAAGGAGAATCCATCGTAGGTGCTAGTTATGAGGCACAAATAGAGTAAACTACTTGTTCTTGCCTACAAGGCACTTTCTTTTAAAAAGCAGTATCCTAACCCTTGCAGAACCAACGGTTCTGCATTTTTAACATCTGTTTTTAGTCAATAAGAAAAGGTGTTTGGGAAATGCAAAGAGAACTGGGAATCCTTTAGCTTCAATTTTGCTCCCATAGCCTTGTGGCTCTTTGCCTAGGAAAGGGAGAAAGCCATGGGAGAAGTAGAATCCATGTAGAAATAGAACCAGAAGCACTCCCCTTCCCAATAAAAGGATCATTTGGATGGCTATTTGACCCGCTGTTCTTCAGTCTAACTGATAGCATCTCTTGCCTTGGGGATCAGTCAGAATTAAACCCTAAGAAACTTGAAGAAATCTCTTGCCTGTTTTTATAATATACACGTAAACAGCCATTTGCAAAAACTATATGAGAATGATGGTCATGATCTTACTGGTGATTTACAGACCTGATGAATTTATAGAATGTGACGACCCAGTGGATCATGTTGGAAATGCAACTGCATCCCAGGAACTCGGTTATGGTTGTCTCAAGGTGGGTTTTTATTTTGCTTTATAAGCAAACTCTTCCATAGAGAAATAGTACTGACTAAATGCTGTTACAAAAAAAGTATAAGGGGTATGAAGTTACCTATTTGTAGACTTCATTAGAATGACTTACTGGAAATTTCCAGCATGGCCAGCATCAGTGACTGAACAAGACATTTCGTTTCCTTAGGAAGAAGCAATGTCTGTCCCAAACTACCCAGGTGCACAGGCCAACCTGTCTTTGGTTCTTTGGGCTGAGATTGACTGATTTAAAGCTATTATGTCACCTCCTCATTATTCTTCAAGTGTGCACTTTCCTAAAAGAATAAAAGGAAGGTTTATGCACTTTCTAAAACCACTATTGGATTGAGCTGTATCTTTGTTACACATGCATCTGGGACAAAGCTCCTTTTGCCAATGATCTTTCTTTTCACAAGGCAAGCAGTTTCCACCATGTCCTTAGGAAATAGATGAGGTCTATCAGTATCTGCCTTTGTAGGAGGTTATAGTATTCAAGGAGAAGCCTTTGGTAACAATGGCCTCTTGGAATGGAAAAAAACCATTCAGTTCCATAATAACATGCTAGTTAGTCTTCCCAAAACCAGTGAAGTTCATGTACCTCCTCCTCATTCTGCATAATGCAATTCAAGATTCAATCAGGTGTAAGAGAGTTATGGGAAAACATGGTTTGTACTAAATCAGAGACAGAGGAATAAACCTGAAAGTAGTAAGACCAAAAAGGCAACTCTTACTGCAGTCATGTGTAAAGAAATATTTTCGGGGCGCCTGGGTGGCTCAGTCATTAAGCGTCTGCCTTCAGCTTAGGTCATGATCCCAGGGTCCTGGGATCAAGCCCCGCGTCAGGCTCCCTGCTCGGCGGGAAACCTGCTTCTCCCTCTCCCCCTCCCCCTGCTTGTGTTCCCTCTCTCGCTGTGTCTCTCTCTGTCAAATAAATAAAATCTTTATTAAAAAAAAAAAGGAATATTTTCAATAATGAGATTTTGTTCTGTTGATAATTACCAAAGAAGCTTTTGAAGGTTTGAGTTAGCGTTGTATAGAGATCACTTACTTTTGCCCATTTTATTTTTTTTTAAAGATTTATTTATTCATTTGAGAGAGAGAGAGAGCAAGGGGGTGAGGGGGGCAGAGGGAGAGAATTTCAAGCAAACTCCCTGCTGAGCGTGGAGCATGGATGCAGGGCTTGATCCCATGACCCCGAGACCATGACCTGAGCCGAAATCAAGAGACAGATGCTCAACCAAATGAGCCACCCAGGTGCCCCTACTTTTGCCCATTATAATTAAAAACTGAGTTGATCCTGTCAGGCCACTCAAACTGCCACTTTCCCCAGAAGTCCTAGACGACCCATACTCAGACACCTGAATCCCAGGGGAGGTATGATTTCCAACTCCCTTTCCTTTGAGGAATGCACCAATGAAAATAATAGTGAAGTACTTAATCAGGTGCCAGTGGAGAATGTACAGTTGTGCTTTCTCTGCTAGAATTCAGTTACATAAATGGTAAGAAGTCCTGTTCTCAAATTTTTTTTTTAATATTTTATTTATTTATTTGACAGAGAAAGACACAGAGAGAGAGGGAACGCAAGCAGGGGGAGTAGGAGAGGGAGAAGCAGGCTTCCCGCCGAGCAGGGAGCCCGATGCGGGGCTCAATCCCAGGACCCTGGGATCAGGGCCTGAGCCGAAGGCAGACACTTAACGACTGAGCCACCCAGGCGCCCGTTCTGAAATTTTTTGCTGAAATTTAAACTTATACAGGAATGTACTATAGCTATATGATAATCACACATTCACAAACTAAGAAAAGTTCTGAGTCAGATGATATTCTGAGGTCTTTTCCTAATTATATTCATTTGTATTATATATAAAACAGCCCTCTAATACACATTCACGTTTTAAATACCCATTCCCAAATGCTCAATAATGTGCTCTTTCCTGTAAACATAGGATAATTAAAACATTGTGTCCATCTATTCTAAGTGGCATTTAATGAAACTGATTATAAATTTTTTCACTATATTAAAGAAGCTAGTCACAAAGAAGAAGAAAAAGTTTATTTAAAACAACATACAATTAGGGTGGAACAATTTAAAATCACTTGAATCACTGAATTCCTTGCTCTTGAACACAGCTTTACCCCAACTTTGTTAGTATAATTATTGTCCTGAGTCACCTCTTATTAATGAATATAAAGATCTATTTTGTGTAACTTGCTTTGGTGAGTTTGGGTTGTTTTGTTTTGGTTGTTACACCACAGTTTGGTGGGCAGGCCTACAGTGACGTGGAACACACTTCTGTCCAGTGCCGGGCCCTCGATGGCATTGAGTGTGCCAGTCCTAGGACCTTCCTACGGGAGAATAAACCTTGCATAAAGTAAGTGTTACTTTGACTGGGGTAGTTGGTACTTGGATAGAGGTAGAGCTATTTTCCTTGTCATCTCGTGATGTGACTTTTTCTTTTATCTTAAGTGTTAAAGGGGCAACATGATTACTATTGTGCATAATCCCTGGACAGGGGCGATGTGGTTATAAACAGAAAGGACACTGGACTTAAGATCCTAGAGGCCATTAGTTCTAAATGTCTCTTTCATCAACTAGCTAAGTGCCTGTGGAAGCCCAGAGACTCTGTCCCTCACCTACAAAATAAAGGAGTTGGACCAGTTGATCTAGCTCCAAAATTCCTAGGATAGACCTAAATCCTGTAAAAATAGCCTTAGTATTTGGGGAATAAAGGTTTTAGTTTATTTTTTTTTAAGATTTTATTTATTTATTTGTCAGAGAGAGAGAGAGAGCACAAGCAGGGGGAGCAGCTGAAGAGGGAGAAGCAGGCTTCCCACTGAGCAGGGAGCCCGATGCAGGACTCGATCCCAGGACCCTGGGATCAAGACCTGAGCGGAAGGCAGACACTTAACCGACTGACCCACGCAGGCGTCCCAGAGGAATAAAGGTTTTGTTATGAAAAGTGTGGCGCTCTCTCCTGGAAAATAAGTTTATCTTAAAGAATTAGGGTCATTTCTGTAAATTTTGCGGGAAGGCACAGAATGTATTTATATCAGTTGCTAATGGAGAGTCTGTGGTGTTTAGTGACGGTATTGGGGCAGGTGCAATGGAGTGTTAATCGCAGTATGTAAGACCTAAGTCCTTATTGAAGAAACCTCATTTTTAGTTGCCACAAAACAACAGAAGGGTATATGGAGATCGGTGTTCATCTGAGGAAAGATGACGACATTTCCTTAGAGAACTGCATTCAGAAGTGCGGCCTCAGGAAAGGAGTCTGAGTCGGAGAGGGATGTGGGCCCAGACCCTACTCCTCCCAGGATGCCTACAGAGCATATGTGCTTGATTATTTCTTGTCCAATCCAACTCAGTATTTGTTCCTTTCTTTATGTCCTAGGTAGTACTCTTTTGAGAGCCCAGGCCAACTCGAGATTTTCTTTTTGGGGAGGATAAGAGGCCACAGAAGGACTACCGCACCATCTTTTCACTTATGTTAAATTCATTAGTCACTAAGTGTTTTAATTTTCATGGGGTAAACATCTTCCTTTTCATTCCTTCTGTCTAGATACACGGGACACTACTTCATAACCACTTTGCTCTATTCCTTCTTCCTGGGATGTTTCGGAGTGGACCGTTTCTGTCTGGGACACACTGGCACAGCAGTAGGAAAGCTGTTGACACTTGGAGGACTTGGGATTTGGTGGTTTGTTGACCTTATTTTGCTTATTACTGGAGGGCTGATGCCAAGTGATGGCAGCAATTGGTGCACTGTTTACTAAAAAGAGCTGTTGTCATGGCCCAGAGAGGCATGTCTTCCTACAGGCTCAAAACTCTTCCTTGATAGCAGACCTGATTATTACTTTCCCTCCCTGGAGGGAATCGGTTTGGTTAGGAAGGTTTCTTTGGACTCTGGGTTTTCAACCCAAATTTTACCTTGCAGACTAGAAATGACAAGCAAACAGTGTTTGGGAATCAAGTGTGTACCTTTCCTCCATACAAAATATAAAGGCTAGTGACTAATAAGTTGCAGAGGGGTTTCCATGCTGTATTTCTGTACATTGCTGTATCTTCAATACTTTGGAGCAAGTGGACCCAACAAGATGAGCAAAGTGAATATTTTTAGCCTTGTGCCTTTTGTGACCCTGAATCTTCATGCAGAGGAGATCTGAAGCTAAACCAATGAAAATCTTCAGCAGAAGTAAAATGGCCATGGATTTTAATACACACTGAAATTCTAACTTTCTGAATTTAAATTGTGGAATAAATTTTGCCAACCTGGAATGCTGTTTGGTATTTTCAATAAGTAGAGTGAGACTCAAAATTCTGTATGTTTTGCTAAAAGCTAGGCATTTGAAATGAACCACTCTACTAATAAACCCTATTGTTACGTCATTATTATGCTCCAGAGGCAGTATATGCAGTACAATAATTTCTTCATTTCAATTATATTTTGAAAGCCCAACAATAATCAGGTCTGTCTGGGTTAAGCTATCCTCTTGGCTATCCTATCTAAAAATTAATTATTTACGAGTTCAGAGAGCCTATGTTGTAGGGCTGGTAAAAAAGATCTACAACTAACTATAAAACTATTCACAATTATGTTAGGTAAGTTGTAAAGCCTCGTACCTTTGGGGGGAAAAAAAAAGCAAAATAGATTCTTACTTAAAGGACAGAATTACTGAGTATTGGGTGGAGTCAGGATGTGATTTATGGGGGCAAAAAGAACACATTCGTTCAAAATAAACATGGTACCAGAAGCTCTCGCTGTGGACTACCAGAGTCCATTGTCGGGAAAAAGAGACAGCCAAGCTTTTGCATTCCCAAATCACTGGGAATAAAAGGAAATGTTCTGAATTATAAGTTCGGAGAAACTAGTTCCCATCCTTTGCAATTTAAGTTGAAAAGAACTTTTAAATATGAAGTAAAAGGAGGACTTTTCAGACAAGTCGAACTAAGAGCCCGATATTTGGGATAAATCCTAGAAACAATCAAGGAAGAACTACTCAAATGTTACTCTCCTAATAGTTGACTTAAAGAACCAAGAATCACAGTTAAATTGATACTGGATATGCTCTATCATTATGAAGCCTCTTTTCTAAAAGTTTCAGCTTTATTATCCCTGATTATTACAATTACTGTTCTTATATTATTAAATGGTGAATGTGTAAAAATTAAAACAAATTATTCTGTCTTGAAAATTCTGTACCACATTGAACTTAACCTTGTTTGTAACAGTAATAATTGGTAGATTCTTATTCATAATGTCTGTACTATAAGTATATAGTATTTTTTAAATTGTTGGAGGTCGTAAAGAAACCGGACCCCCTCCCCAGGAAAAAATGCACATAAACAAAATTTTGCATAGAATTTAAGGAGATGCCATATTTAAAAAAAAAAAAAATCCTAACTTGTAAGAAAAATCTGGAAAACAAATTAAAATCTTAGCGAAGAAAATAAGATACTACTCTAAGCCACAAATCCTGCCTCATCTTAATACTTGTCAAAAAAAATCTCCTCAGGATATTCACAAACCCCATCAAAAGCTATTTTCTTTAAAAACACCAACACTTTGGCAGCTTTCAGACTCAAATCACTAATGTTGCCAGGAGGACGAGCGTGGGTAAGAAGGTCAAAGTCTATAAGTTATTGAAGGATCTGTCCTATAAAAGAAACCTTCTCCCAGTCAGAAAGCTTTTGGAGACCACTGCCAGGGTGATCATGAGAATCTAGTATTTCTCTGTGACAATCTGCAGTTGTCAGTTTGAATTTGACTTACAAACCGTGCTCATCCTCCATATCTACAAACCCTGGCCAAATGTGGTACAGCCTCAAAAACTGATTGAGAAAGGCAGTGTTATGAAAAATTGGATTTCCTTTGCACTTTGGATTCAGGTTGTTTCTTCATATTTGGTAGGTTTATTCGTGTGTGTGTCTGTGTGTGTGTGTGTGTATACACACGTTTATGTTACATCCAGTTTGTGGCTATAGAGAACTTTTAAAATCCACAAGTGTCCTTCTGTCAAGGTTAAATTAGAAACTGTGCTTGTTTTTCAGTTGTTTCCTGTGTTGAAATAAAATGCTATCAGCTTCCCAGACTTCCTGGCACCATGTCCTTCACTTGCTTTAGTAAGGCTTCTTAGCAATAGTAGAGTACCCCAATCTAAGTGTGTGTGTGTGTGTATCTGTTTTAAAGCATTCATTTTTCTTAGGAAAGAGACCCTAAAATTTGCTAACTTTGGCACATCTTCAGTACAAACCAGGTAATATAGCTTTGGTTTTGTTAGATGATTTCTCTTTAAAGCTGGATACTTAATTATTTCAGATGTGACTGTCAGGATCAAAGTCTGACTTCCTCGACGAACCATGATGGAAAGGGAATCATTGTCCTTAACAGCTTCAATAACATCGGTTGTGGTGGTAACAGGTTGCCCATTTATGCTGACAATTACATCGTGGTCTCTCAACCCAGAGCTGGGAGAGGGGGGAAAAAGGGACCATGGAACTATAAGTTTTACTTGTCCCCATTTAAAATTTAATGTCGGTCTTTTATGGCGCTATTTTGCTGTCATTTTTTTAAAGATTTTATTTATTTATTTATTTGAGAGAGAGAGAGAGCACAAGCAGGGGAGGGACAAAGGGAGAAGCAGACCCCCCACACTGAGCAGGGAGCCCGACATGGGACTCGATCCCAGGACCCGGGGATCATGACCTGAGCCAAAGGCAGATGCTTAACCAACTGAGCCACCCAGGAGCCCCTATTTTGCTGTCAATCAACATACAAACCAGGAAACCAGAAATAGCATCAATCCTTTCAGGTATGCGGGCTCTTATAAGATATGCCGGGAAATCACCTGGGGACAACAATCCTATTTACCTTTATAAAATCAGTCTTCTAACAGAATCATATAAAAAGTTTACTCCTCTCATATATTGGATTTGGTTTGGAATAGGCAATTTAGCTTTGGGTTGTTATCAATCTCTGACTTCTGTAAACCTCAAGCACATTCCTGGTCTTACCAGCAAAGATAAAGAAGAACACAAGCAATATATTTTTTCCCCATACAGTTGTACTCTGATCAGTTTGGTTTTGACAGCCCACTTACTTGCCCCATCTCCACCCACAGCCTGATAGCCCTACTTCCAGTAAGTCAAAAACCAGTCACGCTTTCAAGTCTAAATATTTAAGGCTCTGGTTCTAGGCTCCTTTTCCCCAAAGTTGTGATTATATTCTGTCTCCAATATATTTGCTTCACATAGAATATATATTCTAGAAACAAAAAACACCTCCAAATATGAAACACTCCAATAAATATATAGCCATGCTGATGACTTCTCTTAAAGTCAATAATGGGCTGGAAGAGGGACATCAAAATTAAATGACTCCAGGAGACACCATTGTAAAGAAATGGGAAGCCAAAGGAAGGATGCAAGAGGATTACCAAGATATGTGGAATTAATTTTTTTAAAAAATAGAAATTTAAAGCAAGAGGATGTGAAGAGAAGTTTGAGGGCAAAGCTAAAAGCATGGAACACCTTTAGAACAAGGACATCTCAGGAGGATGACTGGGACTGTGCACAAAGAAGAAACTTAATCCATTGTAGTTCTGTGAGTAGAAGAAGAGAAAGAAACCTGCCAGTTATTACTGAATGTAAACTATGCACCAAAATGAGGGAGTGAGGCTCAGCTAGGATAAATAACGTATCCCATGTCCCACAGCTTGGAAGGGACTAAAGTAGGATTTGATTCTGGGTCTTTCAATCGTGAAAACCCATCTTCCTGCTACTCACTCTGCCTCTTAGAAACGAGAGCAGCTACAAAACAGGATAATCCACGAACTAAGCCAGATTCCACATCCCTGCATTCTACTTAAATGTACCTCTCAAGTTAATTACCTCTCTGTACTACAGCTGCTGTTTCTGTAAAATAATGCCTGTATCATAAGACTTTGGGGGCTCAAAAACGTATGTAAAATACTTAAAGTGATGCCGGACATACAGTAAGTGATTAATAAGTGCCAGCTGTTATTACTGTAATTATTATTATTATTAGATTTAAGTGTATAAAGCCAGAAATAATAGATTTCTGGTTTATCAGTGACTTCAGGCAAGCAGTAGTCCCACACTTTAATGTTCATCCAAATCACCAGGAGGTCTTGTTTAAAATGCAGATCCTGATTCAGTGGTGGGGCCTGTCATTCTGCATTTTTTTCTTTTTTTTTTTTTTTTTTAAGATTTATTTATTTGAGAGAGAGCATGCGAGTTGGGGGAGGGGCTGAGGGAGAGAGAGAAAGAAGCAGACTCCGTACTGAGCGTGTACCCCGACTCAGGGCTGGATCTTACAACCCTGAGACCATGACCTGAGCCTAAATCAAGAGTCCGAGGCTCAACCAACTGAACCTCCCAAGCGCCCTTCATTCTGCATTTCTAAAAAAGCCCCAGGTGATGCCAGTGCTGCTGGTCTACAGGCCATATTTTGAGTAGCAAGGACTAGGAGAACTGAAAGAAATAGCTTTGGCCTTGAACCAAAAGATAAAAATAAAGAGGTGGGGGGAGGACAGGAAGCAAGAAAGTCTAGAAAAGCCTGTGACAAGCCAAATTTAGTAACATGAGACCTAACATTTAGCCATTAACAGTTAGTACCTCATGGTTTCTTCCCCCTACTAAAAGAGTTGCCATAATATAAAAAGATAATTGAGCTTTGAGAAACAAAAGTAGTGAGAGGTATACTGAAGAAGTATAAGAGAGGGACCCACCACCTCTTCCCTCAGTAGTTAGTATAAATGTTTAAAAACAAGAGTAAAATCAGCCGGAGCACTTCTTTGATGAGCTGTTCTAGCATTTGCTTTATTAACATTCACTCATTCAGTGCTGGCCTCTGGTATGATCTTCCAGAGTTCAAAGAAAAAAGTGTCCTAAAGTACCTAAAATATGTTCTTAAACTTTTAGCCCTCTGAATTCTTCCTATTCTTAATAACTAAGGTATCGAAAGTACATTCGGGAATTCCTAGCAAAATTAATTTAAACTTATGCTATTAACTCATCATGAATTCTTGAGCTACAAAAAAACCATTCCCTTCCCAAAAATAGTCCTTCCAACACAAGCACACAAGTCCAAATCAGCACTGTCCAATAGAAATGTAAGGCAGGCCACATACATAATTTTAAATTTCCTGTAGCCACATTTTTAAAAACTTTCTTAATTTTTAGAAATCTTTTTAAAAATAGATGCTCATTTTAATAATATAGCTATTTAAGTCAGTATGTGTATTATCATTTTAATATGTAATTTTTAAAATTATTAATGGGTATTTTAGACTGTTTCATATAAGTCTTTGAAATCCACTAGAAACAACCCACACCTATTGTGCTACTATACAACATCTTACACAATGCAGTGATTAAAGTTAAAGGCCGTCCTTCCAAAACAAAGGGTATGTTTCATGGAAAAATCTTTTATATTGAGTGCCTCTGTTTTTTTGTTTTTTTTTTTTTTACTTAAATAAACTCAAATTAAATAAGATTCTGTTCCTCAGTCACACCAGCCACATCTCCGTGTTCAACAGCCATGCGTGGGTAGGGCCACCGTACTAAACGGTGCACATCTCGATCCGACACACATTTACCATGGCATGCTAGCTGGGCCAAGGCCTGAACTCTTACCTTTCAGCAGCTGTTCCTTGAATCACCTCATACACAAAGACCCCAGAACTCACATCAGGGAAATCTGGATCTTGCCTTTTCATCTCTTGAAGAAGGCTAAGACAAGTGAGAAGAGTTTTCCCAGAAGGTTAAGAAACAATGAATTCATCACCTGAGCCCTGGTCAAAGCCTCCAAGTCAACAGGTACTCTTATGTGTTCTACTCAAGGCTCCGGGGGGCCAGTGAAGATTCCAGCAAGCCAGTCACAGTTATTCTTCCCTGGGGGAGGGGGGGGGCGGCAGTTCTCTACCAAAGCCCCGAACCACTGGACATATAAGGTCTATGTAGCCACAATGAAAGAAGCTACTAAAATGTACCGCAAATATTGGTGCAGGCAGAGACAGATACCTACCCTGTGAGAGTGGGGCCCTACACTCACAAGAGTAGCCAGCTGTAGTCCACATGCTTTAGATTCCCTGTTAAGACTGTCCAGCTATGCCTTTTGCTTCTGAAAAACAACACAGACATACTGAAACCCATGCTTACTTCATAGTGAGAGGCAGCATTCGCAGACCGAGATACTTCTGTGAAAGAGCCTTTCCTGGAAAGGAAAGTTATAGGGTGTTACTAACAACAAAACTTCTTTCCTTTGGCAGAGCTTCTAAAAACAGCAAGTCATGGAACATCCTTACTATTATTATAACTGCCCTTTCAGGCTGTCAGCCTGAAAATGTGCTTCAGAGAACCTTTTGTCACTAGCATGGACACTCCTCCCATCCACCTCCCATCTCCAGCCCATGTGTTTCCTTTCTGCCATAACATGTACTTCTGGGTACAACACAACTAGGCTTTGTGCCTAGTTCCCCCATATTGCCACCCAAACCACCATGATAAGAGCTGGGTACCAGTGACAGTATTCTACAGAATCCTAAGGGCGGTCTCCAGAACAGATGGAGGGCTCCTGAAAAACACAAGGAGGGAAGAAAAAGTCCTAACTCCCCTTACCTTTCAACTGGCACTCATGGAATTCTGCCAAGAACTGTTGAATTCGATCTGAGGGAATTGCGAAGGAGATTCCCGCGGTCACCTTCAATGTATTTATGCCAATCACGTCACCATCCTGGCAAGGGAGGAGACATCATTCAGTCACCAAGTCATGCAAACTGACCAGTGCAAAACCAGTGCCAGCAGAGGAGGAAATGAAGCTGGTCACTGGGGTCAGAACACAGAGGGGCTAGAGGAAAGGGAACTTCCACAGGGAGCAGTGGACGTTGCCTTATAGGACACACAGTGTGGGAGGTAAGCCGGGCGGCGGGGGCGGGGGGGACCCTACCCATGTGCAGATCCCTGCTGAGGACAATTTTTTTTAATCTTGAGTTTATTTTGTCCTTCATCAAATGATTTTAAAAGTGAACCACAGTTTGTATTTTGACACAGGTTAAGAGGACAATGAGTACTTGCCTTTTCTTCTCAAATGAAACTAAAAATAAACATGGAAAAGGCAAAAAGCTGTTGGATTTTCAGCAACACTTTAATGAAACTCTTCAGAATTAGCTAATTAACCTCAGAGAACAAAGCTCTACAAAGCCAAAGCTATGAAGTGGGAAACACTTTCCTCTTCGTGCACTTCATCACCCCTCAGCCTCTGTTGGGTAATGGGAAGGGTAAAAAAGAGACTTCTGATCATATTAAATTACATATCATAACTCAGTAGGTCTGGAGTGTGGCCTGACAATGTGCACGTCACCCCTGCTCTAGTAAACTCACTTTTTTTTTTTTTTTAAGATTTTATTTATTTGAGAGAGAGTGAGAGCTAGAGAGAGAGAGCATGAGCACATACACGGAGAGGGAGAAGCAGACTCCCCATCGAGCAGGGAGCCCGACTCCGGGTTCAATCCCAGGACCCTGGGATCATGACCTGAGCTGAAGGCAGATGCTTAACCGACTGAGCCACTCAGGCACCCCTAGTAAACTCATTGTCTACTAGAGAAAGCAGGCACAAGAAAATTACATAAGTAACATTACTATGAGTAAAAGAGTGCTCAGTAATTTCACATACCGTTAGCTCATCCTCCAAAAAGCAAGTGTAATGTGTAAAGAACCAAAAATAGTCAGCTCAAAGGGACTCAGCATGATCACAGACTGTGTGTCAAACAGCACTGCACTTTATGTTTTCACAGGTATTTGAGCAACTAGAAACTCGCATTTCCACTAGAGACGCTGAATAACATCTAAGACTTAAATACATGATAGAGTAATGGATTCTCACTGTGGCTTTTCTCTATCAGGACTAAAAACCCGAACAGACACGTCATGTAGTTAGCATTTTGGGATGAGGGACAGTTCTTCACATGCAGCAGCAGGCGGTCTTTAAGGATAGACATTACATAGCACAGTGGTCAGCTGACATATATTTTAGTTTAGTGCCCCGGGCTTTTGTTAACTACACAATGAAAACAGAAAGCATGGTGAAGAGATGTCAGTAAGAGGAAGTAAACCCTGGCACCCTTAGCTGAATGAGCTCACATGCCATATGATAAATGATGATAAATCCAGCACAGATCTTAAATCTTTGCTAACCATTTACTTAAGATGCAATAATAGAAAAGCATCCTACCACAAATCTCTACACAATTGTGACATCCTACTCTGCACCATCATTCTTGGAAAGTTGGGACGAGACATGAAACAGCAAGGCAAGTGGCCATTTACCAAGTTCACCAGAGGGCCCCCAGAGTTGCCGTGCTGAAGACAGGATTTGAAAAAGTCGTCAGTGCTTTTCTCCTTGTCATTTATACGTAGTTCCTAAAGAGGTTTACCGAAAAGCAGCCTGCTCTGGTGAGCATGGCAAAGCCGTGCCCCTGTCATCACCAACACTGAAGTCAGTGCAGGTAAAAGACAAGAGCCAAAGGACCACTGCCTTCTACAGCAGGGGTGACCTCTATGAACGACCCAAAGAGACTGCCCAATGTCACGGATGCCGACGATCACATCAAACAGGCTGAACAACATGGCATTCCATCCCTCCAGTGAGGGTCTAACTGAACTCTGGACAGCCCCAACAGGCCAAAAGGAAAAGAGTACCTTCTGACATGTTCTTCTCACTGTCCTGCCAGTACCTTATGGGCTGAGGAGAGCCCTCCCAAGTGACTTACATTAATTATGGCATCTGTCTGGATACAGTCCATGTCTGAATTCTTCAGCCCCAGCTCTCTGCCCCCTCGCTGTGTAGTGCTGACAATCCCTGCAGTTGCTGTGTTCTGCAGAGAAAACGGGTTGCCCAAGGCCACCATGAACTCTCCAGCCCGCAGGTCAGAGGACCTTCCCAGCAGCAATACAGGAAGGTCAGTCTGCACACAGCCAGGAGGGATAGGAAGGACAGAGAGGTGAAGAAGAAATCAAGAATAGAATCAACCAGTATTTATGTACAACACACATATGGCCTGGTCTCTATCATTTGGGCACTTAAAATCCAAGAACCCCCCCACCCACTCATATAGGTTCTACAAGTGCCTGATGTTTCTTCCTCAAATTCCAGGAACCACCAACCTCTCACCTGGTAAGATGATCAGGATTATCTCTAAAACCTAAAATTACTGCTTTGTAGAAATTACTATAACTAAATGACCAGTGAAGTTGCTGATGAACATACACTGACATTAGCAACTTACTTAGCACTATACCAGCTCAAAATTTTATTTTTTTTAAGACTTTTTATTTATTTACTTGAGTGAGTGAGAGAGAGCAAGCAAGTACAAAGGGGGTAGGGGCAAAGAGAAGCAGACTCCCCACTGAGCAGGGAGCCCAACCCTGAGATCCTGACCTGAGCCAAAGGCAGACGCCTAAAGACAGCCACCCGGGCACACCCCAGCTCAAAGTTTTATAGTCAGAATTAAACCACAAACAGAAAGGAGAGTGCCCAGAACAGTGCTTCTCAAATTTTAATGGGCACACAAATCACCTAGGAATCTTATTAAAGTGCAGATTCTGACTCAGACGTGGGTGGGATCTGAGATCCTGCATTTTTAAAAAAATTCTTTCTCAGAAATAAGTCAAACAGAGAAAGACATGTATCATATGATCTCACTGATATGAGGAATTCTTAATTGCAGGAAACAAACAGGGTTGCTGGAGTGGGGGGTGGGGTGGGAGGGATGGGGTGACTGGGTGATAGACACTGGGGAGGGTATGTGCTTTGGTAAGCGCTGTGAATTGTGCAAGACTGTTGAATCTCAGATCTGTACCTCTGAAACAAATAATGCAATATATGTTAAGAAAAAAAAAGAAGAAGAAGGTAGCGGGAGGGGAAGAATGAAGCGGGGGAAATCGGAGGGGTAGACGAACCATGAGAGACGATGGACTCTGAAAAACAAACTGAGGGTTCTAGAGGGGAGGGGGGTGGGAGGATGGGTTAGCCTGGTGGTGGGTATTGAGGAGGGCACATTCTGCATGGAGCACTGGGTGTTATGCACAAACAATGAATCATGGAACACTTCATCTAAAACTAATGATGTAATGTATGGGGATTAACATAAGAATAAAAAAATAATAAAAAAAATTCTTTCTCAGATAATGTCAATGCTGCTGATGTGCAGACTAGACTTTGTGTAGCAAGGACCTCAGAGTATTCCCAGGCAGCTCTGAATCCACTGCAATCATTCCTAGTATTCTAAGGCAAGCAGAGAAGTAAGTTTCCCAGAAGCAGCATCTGTTGAAGAAGGAGGCTAGACAGTTAATAGAAATTGTTAGGGATATACAGACGGGCATAGAAGAAAATAAAAGAGTGAAAAACAGAAAAAAAGGAAACTAGAGAAAACCATATACCAGGTAGAAAGGATGTGGAACAAGAATGGGGTGAAGAGGAAAATATCAGCAAATTGATGGAAATCCCCAGATGTACAGACTGATTTGGCCCTTGCATACTCACATTTGGCTCGATCTTAATCAGTGCAAGATCCAATTTATGGTCAATGTCCTTGACAGTGGCTTCATACTGGACGCCACTCTGGAGCTCCACCTGGATCCGCTGCTGGTTGGTGAGGACTTTGACATTGGTAACAATGAGCCCATCCTCAGACACTATGAACCCAGAGCCACTTGATGCAGGAATATCCTTGTTGCTAAGAGGTGACCTGTCCCAGCAAGACAACAGCATAAGCAGAGGGCAGGAAAACCAGGGTATCCATCACAGTCTGCGGACATGGAACCTCTAATTTATCAAACTTACCTCCACCACAGTTTTCTCAGACATCTTACTATCCCCTGTCTGTGTTTTCATTCTCTCAATGTGTAACTGGACTCTGAATGTTCAGCACCCTGGCCATCTCTTAGGAACACGACTGAGAGCTGATCCCAACTCTCCTTTTCCAGGGACGACCCCCTCCCCTCCTTCTTCAGAGCTGGTCAGAGCAGCAACCCTCTGCTTCAGTCCTACTACTAGTCCTACTACTGCGCGCACCTAGTCCTACTACTAGTCCTAGTACTCACCTAGTCCTACTACTGCGCGCAAACGTGGACCTAGTGCCACATTCTTGAGGACCCAGGAGGGAGGGAGTCAAAGAAGTCTGGTTCCAGCTTAGGTTCCACTACTAACTGGCATTGTGACATTGGATTTCCTTCCAGGCAAACGAGGGGCCTGAGCAAGATCACCAACAGGATGCCTTCTAGCTCTTACATCTGACCTTCCATTTTGTCCGTGGGAGATGAGGGAGAGAGAAACCCCAGACCCCGAAGTGCAGAGGAGTAGCCCAAATTTGGAAGCCACAATCCCTACGCTTCCGCTCTTTGGCTAAACCAACCCCGAACAGATTATTCAACCTGTTTGAGCTGCGACTTCCTCACAGCGGGTTTTCCGGCTAAGCCTAAGCGATGCCTGGAAAGGAAAGCCGTAGCGCGGGGGCCCGGAGCCGGCAGGCGCTCAGAAACAGTCCCGCGGGGTAGCTGGCGGCCTCCTCCTGCCTCCTTTACCTGCGGAACAGCTGCAAGTGAACCACAGATGGCGCTACCTTCTCCACCACCTCCGCGATGAAGTTGTACTCGCTCCGGAGCCGGCCTACACTTCTGGGCCCTGTGAAGAAATGCACCACTCTTGGGGGCGGTGGGCGCCCCGCTGCTTGGCCGGATCGGGTGTCACATCCCAAATCTCCCGGGCTCTCTCCTCCTCTCTCCTTTCCCGCCCCTTCCTCTCTTCGGTCTCCCCTCTGTATTCACTGCCACCCCGCAAGGATACGCCTTGAGGGAACCAGACCTGTCATCCCGGGTGGGGAAAAAAAGAGAGAGAGAGAAGAAAAAGGAAGACGGCATTCAACAGGCCCGGGGAGGCAAGTGGGGAGAAACCACATGGGAACTGGTAAGGAGACACCTAAGAAGGAAAAAAAACTGGAACAAGGAGTTGAATCCGGAGGCAAAGGCGGGAAGAGCCCGCGGCGCACCGCGCGACACGGGCGCGCCGCTTGGGGACGTTGCGAGCCACCCGAGCGCGCGGGCCCAGCGCTCACCCCCACCCGCGCAGCCGCCCTTCAGCACCGGCACGGCCGGGAGCGCGCCTCGGAGGCGCGCGGCGCGGTTGTCGGCGCGCAGCGCGCACAGGCTGGGATGGGTGCGCCCGTCGCTGCCGCACACCGCCGCCCCCGCCGCCGGCAGCCGCACGTGCCGACCCAGGCGCCGCCGAGGCGCGGGGCGCTGAGCCGCGCGCGGCACTGCAGCGCCCAGCCGCAGGCCTCGCCCTCGGCCGCCGCGGCAGCAGCGGCAGCGATCGCGCACCGGCGTCGACCCCGCCGAGCAGGTGGGCAGCGGGGGGCAGCGCGTGGGCTCACAAGCCGCGGGAGGGCGGCAAGGTCCTGGACCTCCTAGCCTCGACTCTGAGCACAGGCGGCGGGAGCAGCAGCCACAGCAGGAGGAGCTGTCCCAGCAGAGCTGGCCGCCGCAGAGGTCTAATCATCCTGCCCTCTTCCTTCTTCACGCTCCGGTTTACTTTGGACCGGCAACTGCTCTAAAATGAGCAACACTTCTTCCCGGCTAGGGTGCCGCCTCCCTCAACCCCCGGGCTTTAAGGGGCAGAGCCTGACAGACCTCTACACACACACACACGCACACGCACGGCAGAGCCTGGCGGACCTCTACACACACATACACACACACACACACGCATCCCCCACCACCCGTTCCCGTCCCCGTCCCAGGGCCAGGGCCAGCCCCATGCAACCAAGAGAGGTCCCCAGCCCTGCCCTGTGCAGGGCCCTACCTCGGGAAGGCCAGAAAACCAATAATGGGGCAAACTGACGAGAGATCACCCACCCACGGGCAGAAGGTCAGCATTAGGAAAACACACACCATATTTCAGTATTTCACATGGTTTTATTACAAAACAAGCAACAAAACAGGTTTAGAAAATTATTTTTTTGCTACATACCAATTAGGAGATCACATAAAATGAGAAGCGTAACAGTTTCCATGCACTCAGCTCAGTGCTTACAGGTGAGTGCATTTCACAGCTGAAACCTACTGGTTCAAAACACAAAATCATGCCACACTTCAGTAAGCAGTGGGGGGAGAGGTCAAACAGTCTATTTTTGCTAACATTAGCTTTATTCAAATTCTACTTAGCATGAGTGACTGTAACTGACTGCTGCAGGCAATAACAGAAAAAAAGGAGTAAGAAAAGAAAAGTGATGTTGGTAGAAAAGATTTACTAAACTATCCATTTTTGACATGTTCAAAGTTTATAAACAAAGCTCACTTGGGAAACTCAATTTCCAAAATGCTGTTACTGGTCAACAGTGAAAACAAACATCAAATCCCACTGCTCAACTACTGAATCTATTTAGGTCCTTTAAGCCCATATGAGAGCACAGTTATATTCAGCAAGGAAAAAAAACCTTTTGCTTCCAGTGAACTACAAAGCTGGGCCTTACCTCTGCTCTTTCTCATGAGTGAGCTCAGCATTCTACTCAGAAATAAACGTATAACTTTCAATATTTTGACCTGAGTCTACTCTACACCTTAGTAGATTTAGGATGTCTCACAGGATGCAAAAAGTCAATGTTTACCAGCCACCAACTGACCTTGAGTAAGCAAATCCTTAAGCTCTCAAGAATAGTGGATGGTAAATAGTTCAATTATAGGGAAGACCACCCGTAATACTGTTACACAAACTGGATCAAGATCACTTCAATAGGCTTAGGAAAACAGCACAACTCAAGAAGGTTTTTATTCCACAAAGAAAATGCAGTATCTTTTTTGGTTCCTTTCTTTAAACTCCGATTTATTCCAGAGTCTATGCATTTAACTACTAACCTATACTGCATCCCTGCCCTATTTTTTCCATCTGGTTCCATAGACATTTAAAGCCAAATGCTTTGACTATATATGCACTATCTTTGGCTCACATGTGTAGTGACATTAAAAAGTTTTGATGTGAAATTGGCCAGAAGGTAAGAAATATGGACACAAAAGGAATTCTGAAATAAGGTTTGGGAATGAGAATGCTTACAGACCTCACTGAAGATAATTCTATTTATCTGGTGCTGGAACTACATTAACAATGTTCTCACTTGGTATTCCCAAGTATCTGCCAACTAAAGTCCTTGTTTTCCTTCTATCATAATATAATCTAGATTTATAAGTATGTTTAATTTAACACATTCTTAAAATAGACCCTACTGAAATAAGAAACATATCAGCTTACTATAATGGCCAATTAATTCAACAGTAGTATTGTAGCAGAGTTTATTTAACAAAAGAGACATGGGTACATTTTCACAGCTTAAACACCAAAAGATGACAGCTTTCATGAGTTAGGGAATGTTTAAAGGGATCTCAAAATTTCCTAACTTATTTTTGTGAGTGCAAATATCACTTATTGTGTATTTTCTTTGACCTAGCCAAAGAATTTTCTTGAGGAAAATATGAAGATGAAATCAGAGACAAGGAGCTTTAAGAATCTGAAATGACTACTTATCAGGCTACTTGAAACTGTAACCTCGGTCACTCATAAATAACTAACTCCCAAACCACAGATTTCTGAGGACAACCGTCTACAAGAGTCTGCAAAAAAGAGGAGAGAGAGAGAGAGAAATCCAGTACTAGATGTCTTTTTTCTACCAGGACCACTAGGCCAAACAATTTAAGTGAAGAATAGCTCCAATGCAGTGCGGTCAAGAAAAGTTCTCAACATGACATAGACTTCAAGGGAGTTACACTGCCTGGAAGGAACACAGATTTCCATCAAGCCCCTAAGAATTTCTGATGACATGTTTTTGCCTCTGTATTAGATCTGGACATAAGGAAGGGGAAGGGATTGACTTAGGTAAAAATGCATCTCTCGGTATCTTCCTCTAGTGATTGATTTCTAATTTAAAGGTAATTAGCTGATCTAGCTGATAAAAGGCATAGACAGAAATGAGTTTTTCTCTCTCTTTAGGGCACCCTGATAAGTTAGCAGTTCACCACATAAGTTGGACAAATTCTCCCAGGGACACTGGAAATAGTATCTTCTTGTCAGATGAAAGAAGGCACACCTAAAAATCTGGATGGGAAATGCAATCTATGCTCTTCTACCTGGGAAATCTCTAGTCAGCAATGCCAGTGCCTCTAAATCAATGTTACTTTGCATAGTTTCTATTTTATTAAAAATATAAATACCTCTCAAGATTATCCTTGTATCTCTTCACTATTAAGTACATGGAACCTTATCTGGTCACAAGGTTTGATCATGCAAGGACAAAAGGCTTCATTCAAAGGGCAACATAGAAAGAAAGCAAATCTGCCAGGCAATATAATATACAGCACTTAAAATTAGACTAATATCAGCCCACTAAAAAGCTATGAAGTAAGGATTCAAGAAATCTGTCTGTTCTAAAACAGACCTTTTCTTCTGTCTGGAAAACATGGATCAGAAAAGTCTATCTGGATGAAGTTTATCTGGATGTCCGTCTTTTCCCAGCACCTGCTCTAAAGCAATTCTAACACCCTAAAATAGAGATCTGATCTCTCAGGCAAGGGAACTATCCCACACTTATCAACCCTCCGAACTTCCAAATGATGCCATAGCAATTGAAATGTCTGTTCTAGTCTCAACAGTCGTAACTTTCACACTGATAAACCCATCCCCAGGGCCTGACACAGAAACTGGGTGGGCATGTCTATCACTCACATGGACATTATTTGGGGTCATAGACAAGAACAGAATAATTCCCAAAACTGGCTGATACACTGAGACTGAATCTTACCCCATACCTTACACGAGATTCCCTATTTCTTCCCCTACAGAAGTCCCCTGAGAGGATCTACCCTCATAGACATTCTGAGAGCTACCTGCCAGCCCCCAGATTTTAACACCTCCCCTCAAAATGTATCCCAGGCAAGCCAGCTGGGTTAGTTACGACCTTCCTACTTCACAGTCAGACCTCAGCCAATAAATACAAATTAGATAAACCAGATGACTGGCCCAAGATTCTGTGCCTGGCCTGGAAAGTAAAGGAAGAAACTACAACTAGGACAAGGAAACAAAACTTGGTTAGGGATGAAATTGCACTCCCAACCTTCTCTCACCAGGAAGACCTTAGAACAGTCAAAGTAGAGGCAACCTGTTCTCCACTGAGCGTGCCTACAGGTCCAACCTAGTGATTTTCCAAGTTAAATATACTGTATTGATATTAAAAAAAAAAAAAAAAAAACAGGCCAGCTGGATGGGCCCCTCCCACATAGCATCCACAGGACTATGAGTGCCAAAGGGTCTCTGACTGTCCTCCAAAATGTAGGGAAACTGAGTCATGGCCTCCTTTTCTTGAGTCCTCCCCCCTCCCAGGGCACTGTGCCCTATCACACATCAGAAGTCCGTATGCTCTCATCATCAAGGCTGAACAGAAATGGTTTCTCCTTGGGGTGCTGGGGCTCCGACCTGTGCCTTATCCGGGAGCTGGGCAACACCCCAGAAGTACTGCTCTCCCCAAGCCGGGACATGAACAAAGAGTCCCCAGGAGTCTCTTCAGCTGGAAGCAGCTTGTCCCTGGCCTGTGGGACGGGGGTCCAGGGTTGCCAGGAGGAAGCCACAGAGGGGGCTTTGCAGAGAGCTCTTTTCTCTTCCATAGGTGGCCGCCCCCTACACAGGACAGAGTTGGGCCCCCCTGAGAGGCCGGAGCTTCCAGAGCGAGTCAAAGAGATGGATCTAGAAAAGGACATATCCTACAAAAATAAAAGGGAAGACAAAAAACAAAGGAAAATAAGGCTTTCCTGACAATGTTTATCCCAAAGCCCTAGGAAGAACACCCACCCATGATAACCCCCTCATAGGTCCAGAGGCACTTGTCTACAGAAATCAAGTCTGACCAACAGAATTCACTCTAGATGTGTCAAGGTCGGCCGACACAGGGAGACGTGTAGAACACATCGCAAGCTCTGTCTCTTTACCCAACCCTATACCTCACCTCTTTCCAACAACCAAAAAAAAAAAAACAAAAAATAAAATTTTGTACCTAAACCAGCAGAAAGAGAAAACAAACAAGACAGCCTGAGGCTTCGGCTGCTTCCAGGGACAGAGCGCTTGGTTGCATCACCAAATAAAACCTGCCCACTCAGGGCGCCTGGGTGGCTCAGTCGTTAAGCGTCTGCCTTCAGCTCAGGTCATGATCCTGGGATGGAGTCCCACATCGGGCTCCCTGCTCGGCGGGAAGCCTGCTTCTCCCTCTCCCACTCCCCCTGCTTGTGTTCCTGCTCTCGCTCTCTCTCTCTCTGTCAAATAAATAAAATCTTAAAAAAAAAAAAAAAAAAACCTGCCCACTCAGAGAGAATTCATCTCTAAGTTGACAGTGACCATGTACCAGAAAGGAAGTGACTTACTCTGGGGTGGCACTTGAGGGCCTGGACAGCTGCCCCGATCTCCTTAATCCAGCTGTGCATATCTTCTGGACTGTCCGCCTGCAAAACAGCCTTAGCACTTAG